CAGAAGGCGATCAATGGAAGCAAGAAAGCCAGTGAAGTTTACATTATTGAAGTATATACCATCATGGACACCTGTGACTCAATCCTGTTGTTGACCTATGGAACCATGGAAAGAGTTTCACAAAAATGTTCTAGCAAATGATCTGAATGTGGACATTTATCCAATAAGTTCTGCAGCTCTTTGGTTGAGGATTTACCCTCTACCTGCCCCAGGTGTTAAGTGAGCTCCCTTCCTCTGTACCATCAGGCTGTGCCTATGCGACCAGAAGAGCAGTCACTCAACACTGGAGAAAGCCTAAAAGCTGCCACAGGGTTCCTTGAGATGAGATTCTGGAAGTTTGCAAAGTGCTGTCCCCCACTGCTATGCTGAAACTAGGGGGCCAAGGGAATATATTGTGGACCTCAAGTAGTGTCTGCTTCCAATGACTTTCTCTTACTATCCTATTCTTATTTGTTCTTTTTTTTCTTCCTGCCTGAAAATAAAAATATGTTCACACACCATGTAAAAATCTAACAATAGGCAAGACAAGATACTTTCCCATTCATAAATGCTTGATTTAATGCGAAAGGCAGATCATTCAGTCCAAAATGGTAGTGGAGGAGATATGCAAATGGAACAACTGAGACTGTTTTTGCAAAATCACCTTAGGAAAGTCAGAGAAGGCTAAGTGGGAAGGGCTAATCCCTGAGATGCATCTTAAATAATGTTTACAAGAAAGCCCATGACAGAAAACCACCTGTTTCATTAACATGCACTCTGATTATTTCCCTTCCATCTGCTTGCAGAGATAAATTATTCTGTTCTTGGCTTTCTCTCTTTACACATATTCTCATTGTCATTATGTAAAATTTACATTCTTTATTTGAGTGATTATTTGATTAATGTTGGGCTCCAAAATTGACCAGAGGCCATTAGAGCAGAAATATCTGTTTTCATTAATCTTGCTTGAATCCCAGGTAGTAACACAATGCCTGACATACAGATAAATAAACAAACAGATGAGATGATAGAGTCCCAATATTGAGACTTAAGAGTCCAATGCTTTAGCAATCCCTTTAAAACAAACTTAATGTATGACTTTAGGAAGGTCATTTTTCTTTCATGGGCCTCAGTCTTCACAGTTGGTTATTGCATTTAGAGTCCTAAAATGGACCTTGTAGTAGAGTCTTTAATGACTCAAAATACCATGAAGATAAATTTGGCATTTTTGTTTTTCAATAAATCAGTAACAGCCACTCTTTGTTGAGGCATTTGCCTTGGAAAAGAATCAACCACCTTTACATAGCCATAGCATTTACTTCCTCAGACTGGAGCTCACATCTACACAGGTCCAAACCCTTACCTCTCTTACCCTCCACATATAGTGCACTTCTATATAATCTTATGCTAGAAAGAGAAATGTTTATTATTTGAATATCAAACAACATAGACATGAGCATGCTTCCATTTGAAAAATCTTCTTGGTTCTATAGTCTGAAATATCCTCCAAGTAGATCTGTAACCAGGGAATATTTAAAGTCACTATATATATTTTTTTTGTTTTTTATTTTTAAAAAAGAGTGGTTTTTTTTTTGTTCAAATAAACTATGTGGAATTGCTATGTTAATATAAATCAGGTAATGACAGAGTTGATTTTTAGTGTCTGGTCAGCCCCCACTATCTGGAAGGTCCATGGAGTCTCAGATGTGTCACTAAGTCATACAGTATTTGGAGAGTTGGGGCAAAAACAGAGGTCTGGTAAATTCACTGTAAAACATGGTTGCCATAGACAATCATGGCATGTTTCTAAAAGCAGAAAAAATCCTCATTGGTAGAAAGTCACAAGATGAAGGCCCAGATAGTCTTATTTCATGCATCCAGGCCTCTTGTTACCCTCTTGTGTACCCAATTACAAAGTCAGGAGAGAGATCACAAATTCGTAATGGATGTGCCTCCTCTTCTATAGAAAGATACACACGACCCTCCTGGGGAATGCATCCACAACTGCAGAGAAGAGAGAATATACTCTGAGAAAAACTATCTAGTGAGCTAAACATTTCCCTCAAACTTTCTGAGTTGTCAGCAGAACACAATGTCCCGTGCTGAAAATTATGTCAGCCTTTCCCCCCAGAAATCACTCCATAAAAATTTAGCTCTGTGCCATTTCAAATTCATCTGAGAAAAAGAGAGATAAAGTGTCCTTAAATCAAAGAGATTTATGTATTCCAATAAAGCTGCAAGATTTTGTTTTGATAGCAATAATGCAAAAGCCCACAAATTAAATGCTCTTGAGGAATGATTATGGCTGCAGGAGTTATTTTGTTTTTATCAGGATTGAATAGCTGTGTAACTTGTCTCTTACAGTTGTACAGATTGCAGTTGTATTGATAAGTGGCTTATAAGAAATGGTGTTGAATGAGGAGGAAAGTATAATTTACTTTTAATTTGATTTCATTCAGTAAACCTGACTTTACAGCTTGCATTGTACTTATTTATTATTCACCATCCATGATACAAAGTAACCTGCCACCAGGGACATCAATTATGACCCCCCAACTCCCCACCCAATGAAGATTGCTGTCATCGGAAGGAATGCCACGCTCTCTGCCCGTGTGTCAGTGACGAGTAAATGTCAAATTGCCTCTGACCTCGAAGGGAGTTTCTGCTTCTTCTCACTCCCTATTGCCAGAGGGTCCTTCACTTTACTTGGCAGTCACTAAAGAGCCACAGAGGCAGAATAGACTGATCAAGCAATCCGGAGGCCAGTCAAGATAAATTAGATGCTTAATTTATATGCCAGGCTTTGCAGACAGACTAATTACACAAAGACAGTTTGATAAAGTAATATAAGACTCTGCACATATTAGCCAGAGCCTGCTTCCGTGAAATTATTGCTGATATATGTGCTATGGGCTTTGAGATTTCATATGCGCAAATGTTCAGTGGGCACTATGAAACACATTCTATAAAGGTATTAAAACTGGGTGCTATCTGCCAATCGTTTCTAATTTTATGCTGCCACTAACAGACTATTCTTCCTTTGCTTTGTGATTTTATAGCACTCATTGAGATGAATGTGAAACAGTTAAACAGGAAATCTGAAGATACGATGGCCAAGAAAGACGCTGGAAATGAAGCACAGACAATTTTCACAGACCCAGTCACTAAAATAGTGGTGAAAATGGGCCTTTTGAAGAATCACGCTGGATCTAAAGCTCTTGCCTTATCTCTTGAGAATTCAGTCTATCTGAGTGACCAGAGACACAGAATCCAAGATAGGAGCTGAAACACACCGAAACAACAAGAGAATCCTTTGGCTGCTAATGTTGTATTGCAGGATCACAGGATCAAGGACAGACTTTATATTCCAGAACTTTGTGTTTGTGGACAGTGGCTAATAGGGGCAGCTAATAGCTCATGTTCTTGGAATAGCTTTAAACACTATAATTGAAACGTAAGCTTCACCTAATTGCATAAGAGGGGCTAAGAATTGACTGCATTTAGTATAAATACTGATGGAAAGAAAAGGACATTTTAAAGTGAAGGATGTGAGAGATGAGATAATTGGAAGAAGAAAAGAGTTTTAGGTAATTGAATGAGAAGTTTGAGGATATTAGTACAGCCAGAAGAGAAACAGCTCTCACAATTACAGGAAGGTAAAATTTTTAGAAGTTCCCAGATATGAGAAGATAGCGTCAGACCCTCTCTCTCTCTCTCTCTCTCTCTCTCTCTCTCACACACACACACACACACACACACACAAAGTCTTCATTTATTCCCAGAGAAAGATATTTAAAGCAAATACACATATAAAATAAACAAAAAATGTATCCAAAAAGTCACTGCAGCAACATACGAGGACACAGAATTTCTAGATGGGATAAGCACTGCCTATAGCAAAGTCAGACCTGAATAAATTTCCTCTGATTGTTCTACATGTTATGTTTCCAGTACAGTGGCTGCTCCCAGGTGAATGATGGTGCAGAGGTCATGGATATCTGGGCCATTGTATACATTCATTCCTTTTCCTAGTTAGTTTTTAAGAGACACTTTCATCCCTTCCTGAACTTTGGTTCAGAAACCTCATAGGGTCAGAACCTTGTTTTCTGACTTTGAGTCAAGGGCTACCTTGGGGCTTCATAGAAGTTTTGACATGAAAAGTCCTCAATGTAGCTTCTCTAGAATTTCTGAAGAAAGTTTCAATTAATGATTTATAATTTCTCAAGGGAATGTGTTAAGTTCCTGGACATCTAAAATCAGCTTTGAAAAAATTTCTGTTCAACCCATGATTTAGCCTTTCCAGAGTGTTAGAGCACCTAATATCTCCTCTTTGATCTGTAGAATGATCAAGAAAATAATTGTGGCTACAGACACATGCCTTTACATCCCTAAGCTCCATGATACTTGGTTTGCCAACAGAGTTTCCTTGGCAACATGCTTTAGTTATGTTTTACACTCTCTAATTCCTCCTCTGACTCAATTTATATCAGCATGAACTTGCTTTAACAACAACAACAACAACAACAACAACACCACAGTCCTATATTTAAATTCTTTACTGAATCATAAGCTGCTGATTACAAGTGCATGCTGGGAGGCAACACAGCATCCTCCATAAGTATAAAAGGTCTGTAAGTTCTGAAGGTAGACTTCCTCGGTTCTGTTATTTTGTCACAATGTAATCTTAGACATGTTATTTTTAAACCTTCAGATTATGATTTTTGTTAGTTTATTTAATAATATAGCAGTAATAATGCTTACGTCACTGGATTGCAAAGGGAATTAAGTAGCATAATGTGTGCAAAAAGCTTAGCGGTATGCTTGGCACACAATTGGCATTTAACAAAATTTCAGTTGCTACAGACTTCTCACCAGACTAGAACAGTTTTTTCTTTTTTTTCCCAGAAACACATATGGATAATATTTCAAAGAAATAGAGAGTGGATTCTTTATAATCTCAAAAGTACAGTGCTCTCAGTTACACACAAAAAATTTCTACTTCTGTTTAACAGATACACAGATGAAGATGACATCTATGGAATCTTTTCCTTGCAATTGATGCATTCTTTAGTCCAGTAATATCATCTCACTTTGTATCCAAGACATTCTCTCTGTTCATGTAGAATTCAGGTAAGTCCCCTAAACTTCCTGGTCCTTTTCCATCTGTGGAAAAAGTGTGGTGGGAATATTTGTACACCAATGCTACTCTTTTATGGCTTTCAGTTACCAACTTATAAAAACCTCAGTTTTATCTAAAAAGTTAACTTTATTGTTTCATCAGTTACTAAAGTATCTTCATTCTTGGTTTATTTCCAAGTTTAATTTCCAGCCTAATGACATAGAAATGACTAATTCCTCTGGCACAAGAAAGTAATCAGTAAATTAAATATTCTTATGCCTGTATTCCAAACTTAAAATTGCTTGTTGGAAGTAAGGATTGAATGGAGTATTTGATTACAGTCTTGAATAAATTTATTAATTTATTCAAAACTCATTTGAGTGTCTATTATGTGCTAGATACATACTAACTTCTAAAGAAAAAATGTGTATATATATATATGTTTTTATATATGCTTTATAATTCATAAAGTGCTTTTGAGTGACATTATCTATTTTAACATTTACAATAATCTGATAAGAAAGGTGAATATCTCCTGTTTTAAGATAAAGAGTTTGATTGTGGGAGATGCCAAGTGACTTTTACATCATTCTATAATTAAGTACTGGACGGCATGTGGAAACAATCTACTAAAATTATATGTCATTTCCAATCAAACTGCACTCATTCTAAAATTTTGTATTTGTTTGTTTTACCACATAGTCAGGAAACATCCAGTTCAATACTTGTCTTTATCAAAACTTTAACCCTATGATAAATAAAATTTCCTTTCTTAGCCTGGGTCAGTTTTAGGATATACTTATTTCTGAATGATGGACTAATGCAGTGAAAAGCAATACATTATGCAGAGTCGGAGGGCCTGGAAAAAAATTTTTTTAGCTAATATACAATGATTTCAGGTTTTCTGACTAATGAAATAGAGATTGTCATGTTTCTCTCTAAATGGTGCAATTTCAGCTCTCAGGCTGGAACTTTATCAGAAATGCAGATTTAGAAAAACAGAGTGGTCTATGCATCTGCTCAGTAGAATGGGCCATGAGAATGCTTGTGAATCTTTATTTCCGTAAACCTGATGATTCGAGAGCAGAAAGAATGATTAAGTTCCCATGATTTCTAAATAAGGGGTTTGGGACTCAAATCCATTTCTCTCTGGCTTCTAAACCACAGCCCCTGCCCCTGCCTAATGGAGTCTTCTGAATGTTCATCTTTTCATTATGGGGATGGGGAAGCTCCTTCTTCTCTGTAGCCTCAGTGCCAAGCATATTATGGGTGTTCAGTAAACAGGTGCTGAATTGCCTGTGTGGATGAACTTTTCATCATAGCACCAAATACCTGCCTAAGTACTCCATTTTATGGGGCTGGAGGTTTTAAACTGGTCTAGCCAGGGGCAGTTGCCTTGTCATGTTATTGAAATTACTTATTAAGGTTGTTTATAACAGTCTCATCCAGAAGGTGATTGTTTCATGTTTAACACCTTCTCAGTGAACTCACAGCATCTGATGTTGTCTATTCCATTTTCACAGGCGCATCTGTACCCACATGCACACAAACATGGAAAAATGATGTTGTTATTATCTATTTTTTTTTTAAAGTTACTTGTGATTAGCTTATTATAAGCCAAAATCTGGCCCCTGAAATTTCCATTATGTTTTCTGTCCTTTTTGGGGGGACAAATATGTAGTTTAATTGTCTATATATCCATATATATAATCTCAATATTTATATTACAGTCCTTTCCAGCTATTGCCAATTAAATACAAGACCACCAAGGTTATTTTTCTTCTAAAAATACTTTCCTTTGACCATCATGAGCACAACTAATACCATGACCAAGAACACTTTCTGTAAAATATCTCCATGGAATTTCTATGTCAGTGAAAAAAATATGTAGAAAAGAGAATTACCTTAAAGGCAAGTTAAATATTGAGACAACACATACGTTGGTATGTATAATCGCAAAAAACAATTTGATGAACATTTAAAGTTCGAACTGCCTAAAATTTTTATCTCAGTGAAAAGAATATTACAATGCATTTTCTGTACATAAACAATGTATTGTAATTAAATATTATTCAATATAAAACTGTCTATTTTGGGGCCGGGCGCGGTGGCTCAAGCCTGTAATCCCAGCACTTTGGGAGGCCGAGACGTCACGAGGTCAGGAGATCGAGACCATCCTGGCTAACCCAGTGAAACCCCGTCTCTACTAAAAAAAGTACAAAAAACCAGCCGGGCGAGGTGGCGGGCGCCTGTAGTCCCAGCTACTCGGGAGGCTGAGGCAGGAGAATGGCGTAAACCCGGGAGGCGGAGCTTGTAGTGAGCTGAGATCTGGCCACTGCACTCCAGCCTGGGCGACAGAGCGAGACTCGTCTCAAAAAAAAAAAAAAAAAAAAACTGTCTATTTTTAAATATATGCTGTTATACTCAAATATACATATGTTTATGTATATCTAATATATGTATATTAAAATTTATTTAACCCTCTATCTCCCAAAAAAGATTTACCACAAAGTAAATTTCAAGAGAGCAATGACATGTTTATATTTTGTTCACAGTTATATCTTCAGTAGCTGAAACATTACCTGCCAGATAGTAAGTAATCAGTAAATGTTTATTGACTTAATTACCAATGAAACTAATCCTAAGAACTTCTAATGGTAATAGCTTTATGCTAGGCATAAGGTTACCACTGATAATTCGAAGATGAATTTGAACTGTTCACCGTCTTTAAGGACCTACTAGTGTGTCGATTTTTATAAAAGCATATAGGGTAGGCATCACTTTCAATTAATCCATGTCCCAAAGTTGGAAGTCAAGGCTCCGTGAGACTGAGTGTCTTGCTCAAGTTCACCTATCTAATAGTGGCAGAGTCAAGGCTACAACAAATAATATCTATCAGAAATTTCTTTCAGAAATTGTTCTGCATGCCAACAATTAAACTGCCAATGTTTAGAGTAAGGAACCTCAACGAGTAAACCTGAAGCAGTTCCTTAATTGACTCAGCCTCTGGCATGATTCTCATGCCAGAGAATCAGCTAAAAGATACTCGGGGTCATCCCAAGGAACTCAACTCTTTAACGTGATTCATAAGCATAAGAAGAGCTCTTGGAGAAGGATTTTTCCCAGAGTCCCTAGAATTCCTGAAGTTATGGGTGTGAGACGAGGGAATTGCTGGGCCAGGGTTTTTAGCTGTGAAAGGAACTGATTTTTGAAGTCTAAAAGAAGGTCACATGATTTTACTAATTTCTAGTGTTTTTTACAAAAATGGTTATTATGAGCATCGCACATTGAGTTGTCACTTTGAACACCTGGCAATTACAACAGTCTGGCTTTGCATCCCAAAGGAAAGACATACCGATACACTATCAAAGATTGTAACAAGTAGCACTACATATTACTGCCATAAGTAAATATGTTAATATATGTTAAGTGCTTTACAAATGGACAGGTCTTTAAATGATTTATTTCTAATTTTAGGATTACGTTTCAAAGAAACAATCTCAAATAAGGACAGACTTTTTTGAGAAAATGGTATATATATTTTTTTCAAATAATGGAAAGAAGAAAATATTCAACTTACAATGGCCTTAGGGTTGTATGATGTGTGTGTGTGTGTGTGTGTGTGTGTGTGTGTTCATTTTGTGACTACCTACTACCTAAAATAGTTAATAGTTATAAATGCAAAGCATGTCTTTCATAGTGGTAATGTGCAGTGGACAACTATTTCACTTGATAGGCTTTAACTTTCTCAAGGTATTGTTTCTCAAATAGCATATTCCCTAGGCTCCAAAAGGACATATTTGTAGCAGTCTGAGAAAAACATATTTTTCCCTTTGGAAAAGAGATGATTCATTACTCAAATTTAAGAAACACTGTTTATTATAAAGTGTAAAGCCAAGTATATAACATATGCATGTGTTAACACACACAAACTTACACAAAATCCTAAAAGAAAATGAAAATGTTAAATATTATTTCTTTTCAGAATATTTTTATTTAAATGAATATATATTTTCCTTAGATTAAAAACAAGCAAAAAGCAGTAAAAATACAGTAAAACCATATTAAATTTACCAGTTATTGTATAATGAAGTCCAAATATATCTTATTTAGTGTTATTCTCTTTTACTTAGAATCACTTTTAACTCAAAATTTTATACATCAGCTCTATGGCTATCAGGCCATTTTGCAGTTTATTAATTGGACAAGATCTGTTGAGAACATTTTAACATTTTTTAAATCTTTAAACATATGTTCAAAAAAGCTACAATAATATTGCCTTTCTGATCAATTCTGGATTGTTTTAACACAGAAAAAGATATTTCCTATAGTTTCAATAAAAGTGTATTATAAAATATAAATTATTAATGATATTACTATTAAGATTAATAATAATTATAATTATAGCCTGAGTAATGAATGAGTCTGATTCTCCACAGAGGAAATGGATGAAAAGAAAGAGGTGTTTCTGAATTAATTTGTTAGGGCATTTTACTTGTGAGGTTGGCATTATTACCTCTATTTTTTAATGCAAAGTTAACACAGAGAAGTTAGCAACTTTAATCAAAGCTACATAAGTTGTATATAGGTGAGAATGCCAGAATTTGAATTTGAACCTTTGGTCTTTACATACACTTTTTCACCATTCCTATGCATTCCTGCCTCTTAAGTCCCCTGAAAGATGAAGTCAAGATTCTGACCTTGTCCCATGCAGCCCTTTATCTCTGCATGTCACATCTCACCCTCTCTTTACTGTCAGTTCCACTGAAACCGGCTTCCCCATGGTCAATCTGGAGACCCAAACGCACCTGGTATTTTTCTTTTCTTTCTTCAACTCAATTAAAAAATACTTCTACATTTTCTTCTTCGGGTTTACTACTATGGACTACACACATCAGATGCTGAGAAATATGCAGTTAAGATACAGATATTCTTCAGAATCATTTTCATCATCTGCTATTCTTCAAGTTATCATTTTAAATATGCTCTGAAGATGTTTTTAAAGTACAAT